AACGGAGCCTCAGCGGATGTAAATCAGTACATCGGTGGCACCGCATCCATTGACACCGGCTCCGGAGCTGGGTTGTCGAACGGAAGGCTGGTTCTTGACTTTCTATGTCTGTCTTGTAGGAAGTGTTGAGAGGCGAGTTTGGAACAGGGGTGGGCAAGGCCGTGCCCGCAGGGGCGGATGAGAGCGCCGCGGGGCCCAGGGCAGCAACATTTTGCGGGGCCCCCCCCTTTGACACAGCGCCTGCTCCGTGGTGCCAAGGCGCATGCGCGGGGCCTCGGGAAGTGCAGGGCCCGGGGCAGCCGCCCCGCTGAGCTAGATCCAGCCCACCAAGTCGGCTGATCTGGCCCTCAGCTGCCCTGCCACTCCCCCGGCCGTAGGCCAATCGAGACCTGGGGACGAGGGAGCATGTAAAGTCTCCTCCTCCGCCAGGGGCGTGCAGTACCTAGAGGGAGCTGCCAGCTGTTCAAAATGGCAGGCGGTTCCCTCCAGGCACCGCGTGCCCCTGGCAGGCTGGGGGAGAGGAGAAATTCTGCACATGCATCCCCAGCACCAGGCCAATCAGGGTCTGTGGTCAGGGGAGCTCCGATCTCTCCTGGCCCCGCCCTTTTCCCCCAAGGCCCCGCCCCTTCCGGGGCAGACAGAAACCACTTCCAAAATTTGTGAAGTGGCCCTCCCCTTCAAAAATTATTGTCCACCCCTGGTTTAGAACAGTGTTTCTCAACTTTTCTATAAAGTACCCCCTTTTCAAAAAAAATATTCTAAGTACCCCCAGTACCTACAGTTTCCAGACACACACATTTTTTTTCGATCATTGCAACCATTTATTTAAATTACTTAATTGCCGCTGGGCAGGCGATGACGTTTTTGGGTGTAAAAAGTACAAAAATAATAAAGCGCTGTAAAACTTAAAAACAAAAATTCCGTTTTCTCCAAATTTCAGTTGTGTTGATGCACTCCCCAGACTTCTCTCAAGTACCCCCGAGGGTACTCGTACCACTGGTCGAGAAACACTGGATTAGAAGGTGAACTTGGGTGGTGGACTCTAGAGGTTAAGGACGGTATCGCACGGTGCCCACGGGACATGGCCATAGCACAAAGAGAACCACGCCGCGTCCCCCTGGAGCACAGTCCCACACTACTCAGCTGACGTAAAGGCCACAGAACCCGGCCCCGTCGGATGCTGTTGAATGTGATTACCAGCATGGGATCGGGGTAGCATCCCCAGGCTCCAATTAGGAACCGGGGCTCCGTGGGGTGAAGGGCTGTCCACACAAGCCGTGAGACCACCGTGCGGGAGCCCAGCCCTAACGTGGGCCAGCCAGGCAACGCTGCTGCAAACAAAGCAAATGCATTTGTAGGTTGCGTTACCGCTCGCAAGTCGCGGAAAGCAGTGGCCCCGTTCTTCTCCGCGCCGCATGGACCTCCACTGGACTCTGCGTCCAAGTTGAGTCACCGATGTCTAGAAAGGACACGAAGGGACAGGAAGGGCTCCAGAGGCGAGTGGCAAAGAGGGTCAAAGGGGTGGAACGCAGCCAGATGCACAAAGGAGACGAGGAGCTTCGGGCGGGGTATGAGAGCGGACTTGAGATTCCTGAAAGGCTGCCTGTAGTAGTTCCTCAGTACTCCCCCAGTCGGGAGCCTTAAAGACCTGACTGCCGTCCAACTAACGGTTCTAGTGGCCCGCCCTAGGTCAGGGTCTGGCAGCCAGTTAACAGTTAAACAGTAGTCACGTGGACTGCACCACAGTTCGTGAGCCCCGGCTGTGGGTCAGGGCAAAGCAATAAACAACGAGCTAAACAATAGGAAAGTCCAGTGACGCCAGCCTGTTCGCAGGCAGCGCCAGGGTCGCGTGTCCTTGCTAGCAGAGAGCCAACAGTGGCCCGCCCTAGGTCAGGGTCTGGCAGCCAGTTAACAGTTAAACAGTAGTCACGTGGACTGCACCACAGTTCGTGAGCCCCGGCTGTGGGTCAGGGCAAAGCAATAAACAACGAGCTAAACAATAGGAAAGTCCAGTGACGCCAGCCTGTTCGCAGGCAGCGCCAGGGTCGCGTGTCCTTGCTAGCAGAGAGCCAACAAACGCAGGGGGTTTTGCCCCAAAGGGTGGTGGGGGGAGGAATGACGGTGACCCTCCCTATTCAACCGCATCCCAGCCCAGGGCCCTAGTAGTGGTGGCGCTGCAGCCAATGGATCAGGGGGTCCCCCAGCCATAATGTGCCATCTGGGTCAGCGCTCCAAGCCACCGCGTGCTTCCCAACCAACCTCCATCTCCTCAGCTCCCCCAAGGTCGGCTGTCCCTGGGCCACTTCCTGGTTCCCCCTGGGGGCCTACATGGTGCCGGCTAAGGACGGCGGCGGTGGCAGCGTGTCCATAGGCTCAGGATCCGGGTTGGTTAAAGGTCCAGGTGGTCTGGGCCCTGGAGATGCTCGGGGGGTCCGGGTCTGTCTCGGGATCCCGCTCCAGCTGCAGTCGGCGTGATCTAGGCCTCAGCGCAGGGCCTGGTAATGGCCGGGCGGCCCAACCCAGTGGTCGGCCGGAGAGCAGCGTAGCAAGGCCCTCCGACACTGGGGTTGGGGGAGAGCCTCTGCCCTGCTCGGTGCCTGAGCCCGGACTGACCTGGGAGCTGCCCTTCTTATAGTCCCAGCCCTGGCTTCCTGTTTCCTGTGGGCGGGGCTGGGTGACTCTGGCACCGCCCACTAAGGGGTTTTGAGGGGCGGTTCCTCCTCCGAGTCAGCAGGAGGCCACGCTGACTCACTACACTGCCGTAAAAAAAGATGGAGAAACAGCGGCTCCCCTGGCCCGGGGGGG